AACAATCTCCCCCTTGGTGTTCAATCGTGTTGAATCAGCATTGCAGCACGGATATCTTTGTTTGTGAACTTCAGTGCAGCTCAACTTCCTTTGTCTTTGAACTCGACTTCTTGGAAGGCTTTCTGAAGAAATCCTCGTAATCTCCCCTTTGATGTCTTCTTGGTAATTTGATTTTGATGTTGGAGATTGAGGAATCTTGAAGGTCTTGCATGTAGTCCTTGCCTTCCAGAAGTTGCTCTTGATCAGCTTGGATGAAGTCCGGCGACACCTCTAGAATGAATGTTCTGATGATTATCAGGGGCGCACGGGATTCATCTTCAGTACACGAGTATTTGACCCCTGTCACCTCCACAATGTAGTCTTTTTGACTATTTGGAATGAATGCATTTGAGGAGAACTTGTCTGTGGAACAGCGGAACATAATGATGGTTGACTTGTGAGCATAACTGACCATTTGAGTTGTGGAGATAGTAGAGAGAGTGTTGGGGGAGAGAAGTGTCCGAGAATGATTTTTTGAGAGTTAAACAGCATGTGGAACACTCTCCCCCTCATGACGGTCCGATGAATCAGGGCGTCATGCCTTTATTCTTTTATTCTGCGGAAATAAAACATAAAAACAAGCAGAATGTTGAAATGCAAAAACCGGATACACTGATGTGTTCCGTTAACACAACATCAATGTAAACATCGATGTGTGGCCTGTATATAATGATAGAAGAATTATTAAGCTCTAACAAGACTTCCAACCCGTCATTGTTAAGCATCCGAAAAGATGTCACTCTGAATGTATGGCAAAATCATAAAGATGAGCATTAAGAACTTATAGCCCCCCCCCCCCCCGAGGTCATGTAGATACTCGTTATCATCACTATAGAGATAAACTCTAAAGTAATGGCCTGAAAATGTTGGTGATTCTTATGTTGCAACAGCAGGACTTCCTTCCAATCGTTGGCCTACATCTGTAATAGACGAGCCCTATGGAAGTTCTCGCAGATCATGAAAACCTGCAACTGACTCTAAAAGTGTGTCTGTGTCCTAGAAAATTTCAAAACATTTGGGAGTGAGTAACTAGATACGACGTGATCAATGAAAGTTCAGTGGCATGGGGCTGAGGCCACTGTAGCCAGTATCACTTGCCTCAGAAGGAGACATTAATGAGAGATGCGGTTCCCCGTGAAATATGATTAAACACATGTCTGTTGGGAGACAAGTGAGTGATTTTGGGTAGGGTTCAACATGCACTGTTGGACAAGATGCAGTGACTTCTACCCGGGATCTGATTAAATCAGTCCTGAACCTATTGGGGAATTGTCCAGAGTATTTGAGTAGCTATGAGTAAATGTTCAATGGATAGTAGGCAGTTGAGGTAGAAGACTTATCATTGATTTTTGTTTTCTTGCTCACTTGAGCATTCTGCTTCCTAACGCTCATAATGATCACTCACTCACTCACTCACTCACTCACTCACTCACTCACTCACTCACTCACTCACTCACTCACTCACTCACTCACTCACTCACTCACTCACTCACTCAGCTCAGCTCAGCTGCACTCAGCTACGCACTCGACTCAGCTCGACTACATCGACTCACTCACTCACTCACTCAGCTCACTCACGCACTCAGCTCTCACTCACTCACTCACTCACTACACCTCACTCACTCACTCACTCACCTAGCACTCTCACGATCGACTAGCTCGATCTCAGCTAAGATCGACTCGACTCACTCACTCACTCGACTCAGCTCAGCTCGCACTCACTCAGCTCCAGCACTCGACACTCACTCACGCACTCACGTCACTCGACTCACTCACGCATCACTCACTCCACTCACTCTCACTCACTCACTCACTCACTCACTCACTCACTCACTCACTCACTCACTCACTCACTCACTCACTCACTCACTCACTCACTCACTCACTCACTCACTCACTCACTCACTCACTCACTCACTCACTCACTCACTCACTCACTCACTCACTCACTCACTCACTCACTCACTCACTCACTCACTCACTCACTCACTCACTCACTCACTCACTCACTCACTCACTCACTCACTCACTCACTCACTCACTCACTCACTCACTCACTCACTCACTCACTCACTCACTCACTCACTCACTCACTCACTCACTCACTCACTCACTCACTCACTCACTCACTCACTCACTCACTCACTCACTCACTCACTCACTCACTCACTCACTCACTCACTCACTCACTCACTCACTCACTCACTCACTCACTCACTCACTCACTCACTCACTCACTCACTCACTCACTCACTCACTCACTCACTCACTCACTCACTCACTCACTCACTCACTCACTCACTCACTCACTCACTCACTCACTCACTCACTCACTCACTCACTCACTCACTCACTCACTCACTCACTCACTCACTCACTCACTCACTCACTCACTCACTCACTCACTCACTCACTCACTCACTCACTCACTCACTCACTCACTCACTCACTCACTCACTCACTCACTCACTCACTCACTCACTCACTCACTCACTCACTCACTCACTCACTCACTCACTCACTCACTCACTCACTCACTCACTCACTCACTCACTCACTCACTCACTCACTCACTCACTCACTCACTCACTCACTCACTCACTCACTCACTCACTCACTCACTCACTCACTCACTCACTCACTCACTCACTTACTCTCGGCTTTGTCCCTGGGGGTAGGCTTAGTTGGGTTTACTAAGCCATAGGAACATGTTCTCTCATTGATTTTCTCTGTGTACTCCCCCTCAACTGGAGCACTCGGTATGTTTTGTCATTGTTAGGCACCGGGGAGGATAACATTGAACACTCCCCCTAAAATGTTGCATCCATTGAGAGACTCCTTGCTTTGTCGGTGTAAGGCGTCAGGAGGAGAAAACTGAAACTCCCCATCAGAGTGTGCAAGGCTTGATTGCTCACAGCCCGTCATACCCACCATGTGTGTGGAGCAATCTGAACAAGTACCACACATGACGGTTTCCCTAAGCTCATCATTTAGAAATTCAGCACGTTTGAGGATCACACAATGTTGATGAGTTAGGGGAGGCTTCAGCAGTTGATTGTTGATTGTTGTAGAATGACCGTTGACGCGAGGTTGATTGAATTATCTACGATTTTCGTACCTCTACAGTGCAGCTTAGACATTAGGTTTGACTTTGGAAGAATTTGAACAGATTTGCCTAAGTTTTGACCTTGACATCGGTGATTTACAAAGTTTATCGGAAAACTAACGTTTTGACCCTCAAGGATTGCGCGTGAGGGCGCGTGAGAATGGGTTATGGGGCATAGCTCAGAACAAATGTAGATCTTTTTGTTATATTTCCAACAAAAAAAAGTTCGCCTAAATCGGATCACCGAGTCAAAAGTTATGGCCAAAACAGTGCGGTGTCGCAGAAAATCTCGAAATTTTGAGTTTTTGAGGAATTTCTTCGAAGTTGAGGTTCTCGATGTTTAATATCAAAATCAGGTGGAATTAGAGAAAATTCTAAGGCAAAACCTCGAAATCCTAATCTCGAGGTTTAAATCTCGAGATCACAATCTCGAGGTTTAAATGTCGAGATCACAATCTCGAGGTTTGAACTAGCGAAGTGCTCTTATATTTATAGCAACGTTGGGATAATGAGTTGGTCCACTCAACCGGTGTGGGTAATTTAAGTACTCGGTATAAGGAAGAACAGAAACGAACACACAAAACCTCCTCCTGCAACTTGGATCATCACATTTCCGCTTTGCCCTTTGGTAATATAAAATGAAATTGTCCAACTACCAATTGTTAACGTTAAAACTTGTTCAAAGTTATATAAATTGGAATAGACTATTCTTTTCATCATCATTCATGATGGAAAATTCATCATCATTACTAGAAACAATTACATATTAATGACTTAAATAGATATTTTTTCATAAAATATAACATCTTCATTGTCGTAACTTTAATCATAGTAAGTTATATTCAATTTTAGCATTTAAGTGACATGAGTAATGCTTAGTCATATTTTTGTAAATAGATTTTATTTATGTAGTATTTGTGAAAATAACTCTTATTGTAGTGTGATTATTGTTCTTGATGTTAATATTGTATTACTAATAATTTCATTACTATAAAATATTTTACTTCTATTACTTTATCATTCAACTACTTTTTCACACTTTGTAGCTATATGAATATGCATGTGAGTTATCTATTACTAACTCCGTCTCAATGGACTTTACCAGGTTTAGAGTAGGTGAGAAATAAGAATAGTAAAAATCGTGTGATTGAGATTTGTGCAGATGAGAGAGAAATGAGCAGAACCACAAATCAATTGCTTTAAAAGGAAAGTGACAAAGTGTTTTGGGACAACAAAAAAGGAAAATTGGCAAAGTCCAATGGGAAGGAGGGAGTATATGTGAGTGATAGAACTTTGGGTATTTTATTTTTGTCAGGCAATTCAAAATATGATGCCTTTTGTATGATGTTATTACATACGGAGTATCACATTCATATACTTACTTAGCTCTAGAAAAATTCAAAAAATGAGTAAAAATTACAAATGCCTTTTCACGTCTAGACCTCACATAAATCCACCTAGGCTTCCAAGGCTTAAAGCTTGGTTGCGCCGCCTTGACACGTCTCACACCTTTTAGAACATTGGTTAGTAGTTACAGAGTGCACAATAAATCTTAAAAATTACCATAATAAGAGCAAACTGTTAGATTATTGGACTTATACTACATGTAATATTCAATGTATATTATTTATCGGGTTTAATTGTATGTTATATGCTATCTTATATTTAGGCCCAAAAATTAGTGGTCCTATGGATATTAATTTAAGTGGGCTAATAAGTTATCTAATAAGGTATAGGGCCCAAATGTGTAGAGACCCATGGACTTGACCTAATCAATGATGGACTGATTAGGGTTAAGCACTCTCTATAAATAAGGGGTTATGGTCCCTAGTTGAACACGTCATTCCGTCTTTCTGCATCCCATCGCTAGAGAGATAATCCCGAGGGTGTGTATCAACTAGAAGATGCAAACCCTAGCCTCCATCTTCCGAATCTCTAAAGGTCATCTCCAATGGAGTCAGGTACGCTTCCGATCAGTTATTTCTATAGATAATTCCAATATGAAGATTAAAGTATTCATGGATTTATTCCAACAATTGGTATCAGAGCCTTCTTCATATTGAATTAATTGGAGTATTCGTCCTTTTGTTTCAATCTTAATAGATTGATTTTTTTCTGGGATTCCTTTTTGTCATATGATCTGCCGATGAGATGGAGACACTCCGTTCGTAATGTATTCGTTGAATCGGTATTTGATGATTAAAAGGATCAGATATTTGGATCGCATTCTCTCAATAGCACTTGGCATATATACTTGTAAATTGTAATATGCCGATTGATTTGAGTTTTTTTTTTTCTTTTCTGCGAGTCTGCTATGTAATAGTTCAATAGAAATCCTGATTTTTCTGTATTCATAAGTGGACTCGGTAAGTTGCAGACTTGTAGTGGGAAAATCTTCTTCTACTTTTTCATCTGATGTTGCGGTTCTTTGTTTTTTGGAGTGCCATGAGTAATTCTTTCTCTTTAAAACTTGTGGTTGTGTGTTTGGGTTAAATCAATTCTACGATTGATTTTTGGAGTCAGTCAAATGATTTTTGATTCAATGATTAACTTTATGGAATGCCGCATAATCTTTTTTCGTATTTCTTTTGATTTGAAAAATCAGGAAGTTGAAATAATGCTTTAATCACTTAATATGAAGTATTACTCCGTATATTATTAGTATATTGTAGCATATGGTGGAGTTAGGGTTGATTCATATTGAATCACGTTTTGAATTCCTTTTTTCTAAGGAATAAGCCATACACATTTGTTATTATGGGGTTTAAAAGGACTTCTTGATTTTCTTATTGATTTGTTTCCATTTTTTGTGAGTTAGCCGAAATATATGTATTAAATTGAATTTTGATCGATATGTTTCCTTGTTTTTTATTCAATTTTGGAAATGTTCTGGTTTTAGTAATTCAGTACATATATGTGATTATTACCGGTTTTGGTAATTAAATACTTATATGTGATTACGACTAACATATTAGTTCTTTTAGAATTACATATTTGGATATTACTGAAATAGATTACTTTTGTTGGTGGTCGTGATTTGCGGCTTGAAAATTATGTATTATGTGTTTTGGGATGTATAAACCCTATTTTGCGATCGCACGGCGATTGGGTACGAGTTTTAAAAATTATCGTTATACATAACACATTTACATGTGATTCAGAAAAATTCACCCAATTTTATTTTCAGATTTTTCGAATGAATATTAGCATGTCTGATATTTGAGTTAGTTAATTGATACAACATGCTGTCAAAGTAGTCTCTCTTGTTGAAATTAATTAACTCATATATTAAGATGATTGTGTACTTTCTTATTTCATGCGGATAATAATCGGCCCACAGGAAGGTTATTATTTGGCCGAAATTTAAGTACATTTGTGATAATAAAATTTGTGATGATTATGAAGTTTTTCGTGTGAATATTAAGTCAGTCCAAAGAAAGGCTTAATATTTGACATGATTTTATTATCAAAATTTTATTATTACACCAAAAGTACCACTTGCAAGTCTAATTTATGTCCAAAGACAAGATTAGATGTTGCGTTAGGTATCTTGTGATGGGGATTGCTAATATTTAAATTTAAAATTAATTATCAAATTAATTTCAGTTCCTAGAGCATATCATTTATATTATTTTTTGTTCTCTTTCAGTCAACAATTCTGCTGCTACAATATCTGCTAATATTAATAGCATCCCAGTGCTTAACGGCACGAATTTTAAGGAATGGAAAGAGAACGTTATGATTGTTCTCGGTTGCATGGATCTAAACCTTGCACTTCGGCTGAGAAACCCGCCGCTCTTAAGGACACATCTACCCGTGATGAAAAGAGGGAGATGGAGAGGTGGGAACGCTCAAACCGCATGAGTCTAATGATCATGAAACGTGCAATTCCAGAATCATTCAGGGGCACAATGTCTGATGAGGCTGATGCCAAATCGTTCCTTGTCGAACTTGAAAAGCGTTTTGCTAAAAACAAAAAGGCGGAAACTAGTACTCTTTTGAGCACTCTTGTTTCCATGAAGTATAAAGGCAAAGTGAACATAAGAGAGTACATTTTGGAAATGTCTCACATTGCTTCAAAACTAAGTGAACTAAAGCTTATTTTACCTGAGGAATTGCTTGTGTATTTAGTTTTGATCTTTCTTCCTTCTCAATTTAATCAATTTAAAGTCAGTTACAACTGCATTAAGGAGAAATGGTCTCTCAATGAGCTCATTTCTCATTGTGTTCAAGAGGAAGAGAGAATAAAGCAAGATAAGACAGAAAGTGCTCATTTGGCATCTACCTTTAAGGGCAGCAAGAAAAGGAAAAATAAGGAAGCTGCAAATTCAGGGCCTCCCAGGAAGCATCATAAGGAAACTAAGGAGGCAACTAAGGAATCTGGATGCTTCTTTTGCAAAGGGACTAATCACAAGAAAAACAACTGCACTAAGTACCACGCTTGGCGTGCGAAAAAGGGTATGTCTCTTGCTCTTGTTTGTTCTGAGGTTAATTTAATTTCGGTACCAAAAGACACTTGGTGGGTAGATTCCGGTGCTACTACTCACATAAGTGTATCTATGCAGGGTTGCCTGAGCTGCCGAAAACCAATTGATGGTGAAAGATACATCTATATCGATGATGGCAAGCGGGTTGAAGTTGAGGCTATCAGTGTTTTTAGATTATTATTAAAGACTTATTTTTATTTGGATTTGAAAGAGACATAAGACATTTGTTGTGCCGTCATTTAGGCAGAATTTAATTTCTATTTCTGCATTGGACAAATTTGGTTATTCTTGTTCATTTGGAAATAGTCAGTTCAGTCTATTTCAAGATTCAAAACTTATTGGTACTGGTCTTTTATCAGTTTATGATAATCTATATTCACTTGATATAAATACCTCATATAATGAAACCTTGCATGTAAGTACTCGTGGTACTAAAATAAAATTAACCAATGAGAATTCGTTTTCACTTTGGCACAAGCGTCTAGGACATATTTCTAAAGAAAGAATTCAGAGACTTGTGTTAGATGGAATTTTTTATTCTCTTGACTCCTCAAATTCTGATATTTGTGTTGACCGCGTTAAGGGAAAACAAACGAACAAACGAAGATTAGGTGCCGAGAGAACTTCAGATCTATTAGAATTGATATATACAGACATTTGTGGACCATTCCCTACACCATGTAGAAATGGTCAAACATATTTTATCACATTCATAGATGATTACTCTCGTTATGGTTACCTTTATCTCATTCATGAAAAGTCCCAATCAATAGACATGTTCAAATCTTATAAGGCCGAAGTTGAAAATCAATTAGGCAAAAGAATAAAAACCGTTAGATCTGACCGTGGTGGTGAATACTATGGTAGATATGATGGTTCCGGTGAACAACGTCTAGGGCCATATGTAAAACTGCATTTCTCAATGGTGTCATTGAGGAATCAATCTATATGGAGCAACCAGAAAACTTTGTTTCGGGAGATTCAAAGAAAATGATTTGCAAATTAAAGAAATCCATCTATGGGCTCAAACAGGCTTCTCGTCAGTGGTATCACAAGTTTCATAAAGTCGTTATATCTTTTGATTTTCAACCAAACGTCAGTGATGATTGTATATACCACAAGTTCAGCGGGAGTAAGCATATTTTCTTGGTCTTGTATGTTGATGACATACTGCTTGCTAGTAAGGATATAGGCTTATTCCACGAAACTAAGAGATTTGTTTCAAAGAATATTGAAATGAAAGATCTTGGTGAGGCTTCTTTTGTATTAGGAATTCAAATTCACCGAGATCACTCCAAAGGCGTTCTTGGACTCTCACAAAAGAGCTATATCGATAAGGTTCTCAAAAGGTTTGGTATGCAAGACTGCAAACCAGGAGATACCCCAGTTTCCAAAGGAGACAAGTTTAGTCTCATGCAGTGCCCTAAGAATGGTTTTGAATCTAAAGAAATTAGGAACATTCCTTATGCTTCGACTGTAGGAAGTTTGATGTATGCCCAGGTTTGTACAAGACCTGATTTGGCATACATTGTTGGGATGTTAGGCAGATATTTGAGCAATCCAGGAATGGACCATTGGAAAGCAGCCAAAAGGGTCATGCGGTATTTACAGAGAACAAAGGAATATATGCTCACATATCGGAGATCGAATCAGCTTGAGATCATTGGGTATACCGACTCTGATTTTGCTGGATGTCAAGATAGCTTGAGATCCACTTCAGGCTACATCTATATTCTAACTAGAGGGGCTATCTCCTGGAGGAGTATCAAGCAGACTCTTACAGCTACTTCCACCATGGAAGCAGAAATTATAGCATGTTATGAGGCATCCAATCATGCATTATGGCTGCGAGATTTTGTTAGTGGACTGCGCATAGTGGACACCATTGAAAGACCACTTAAGCTATTGTGTGACAATAGGTCAGCAGTCCTTTATGCTAAGAACAACAGTAGTTTGACCAAGACAAAACACATTGGGGTCAAATTTAAAGGTGTTAAAGAACGAGTACAAGAAGGAAAGTTGTCTATAGAACACATCAGCACAAACTCCATGATTGCGGATCCGCTCACTAAAGGATTACCACCCAAAGTGTTTCATGAGCATGTTGCTCAAATGAGTGTCAAATCAGTTGAGGATTATGAGTTTTAGTGGGAGTTTGTAATGTTTCTATATTTGGTTAACTCAAGTTTTAATGTTATTTTCTACAAAAATAAAGTTTAAATTTTATGTACTCTTACAGTTATATTATTGATCTCAAGGTGGACCAGTTGGAAATAGACATTCTATTCCAGACCACACTTTATGTTATTTCCACGCTACACACTTATACTTGATCCAGGTCGTTTATTATGTTAATGTATGTGATCATTGATGGGTCTAGTTATTCAAATATAACAAAGACTTCTTTGGTCCTATGTTGATTTAATTAATGGACCGGATTGATTAAAGATGACTACAGTTTGATAGCAAAATTTTGGAGCTCCTAAAGTAAACATACAATTCTAAGGATTGTGTATACATGTGTATGTCGTCCAAGTGGGAGATTGTTAGATTATTGGACTTATACTACATGTAATATTCAAAATATATTATTTATCGGGTTTAATTGTATGTTATATGCTATCTTATATTTAGGCCCAAAAATTAGTGGTCCTATGGATATTAATTTAAGTGGGCTAATAAGTTATCTAATAAGGTATATGGCCCAAATGTGTAGAGACACATGGGCTTGACCTAATCAATGATGGGCTGATTAAGGTTAAGCACTCTCTATAAATAAGGGGTTATGGTCCCTAGTTGAACACGTCATTCCGTCTTTCTGCATCCCATCGCTAGAGAGATAATCCCGAGGGTGTGTATCAACTAGAAGACGCAAACCCTAGCCTCCATCTCCCGGATCTCTAAAGGTCATCTCCAATGGAGTCAGGTACGCTTCCGATCAGTTATTTCTCTAGATAATTCCATTATGAAGATTAAAGTATTCATGGATTTATTCCAACACAAACAACTAGGAGAAGAAAAACTTGAATATAGTAACATCGAAAAATACATACCTCACGATAATTGCAAACAAATGAAACAACCCAAAAAAGGTGTTGCTAGCAAAGAGATGACTTTTGGGTTGATACGAGGACTGAGGACATAAAGCTATTTTTACAATCGGTTGAATGGAAATGTTAGGTTGTATACTTGTATAACGTTTTTATTCAGTCCATTTTTCAGCTTCAACTTGGTTAAGCTTTTCATCCAAACGGAGCTACTTTTATATTTATCAGCTAAATTTAAAAAATTCCATCCCATTATGAATGAGCTAATGGTTAATGCCGAACATAGCCTGAAATTGACCGAATCTGAAATTTATAAAGTTTTGGCTAAATCGATTAAATTGATTGATTTTGATGAACTATGGAAGAATCATATCTAAATTATATTTAATCATAAAATAGAAAAAATAACTAAAATGATCTCTTACAATAACTTTAGCCGATTCATCCAGAAAAACATCTCTAACCTTACTTATTTTGGTTATTATACAACTCAATATGCAAAATCAAAAGTTACATGTTTACTAAAAAATTGAATGATTAGATTGATAAGCTGAAAATAGGGGTCACCAAAAAGACCCTTATAATATGTATAAATTTACTTTATTATTCATGTACATCAGTACTAAGACTGCTTTAATTTTTTGTCATGATAGGTATACAAAACATTAGACTTGTAGTTTACGTTAGGCATGTACTAACTAGGATACAACTCAAGAAACTCAAGGGCATCTCCCTAGACAATACATACATGATATATCAAAGATGAAACAAATGCGGAGACTAGCTGGTGTTTGCTTTTTTCACTTTGCTTGACTTGGTCATAATATATACTCCAGATATAATAAGTGCAGCACCAATAAACCACTGGAAAAAAGAAGGCAAGATTGTGATCAGACAGCAGTACTTAGAAATCTTGTTTGATCTCTTTTCCCCCCTCCCCTCCCACTCCTTCCCCCCACCCCAAAAAAGGAAAGGTTGTGGATGACAAACTAGACCAACTAATTTTTTAATTTCTATTGTTAGTTAACTAAATTTATCGTGAATAACTCATTTATGAATATTCTTTTATTTGGAAAAATCGACAACAATAATCTCACCTTTTACCGATCTTCTCAAAATAATCTCACCTTTACGTAATCTCAAAACAATCCCATGTTTCAATTTTTCTTTTTTCTCTCTCATATTTTTCTTTCTTTGTTTTTATACTTAGACACTTTTTATTCCTTATTTGTCTTTTATTTCTATTTCATATTTACGCATTCTATTTCCCATTCTATTAAGAAATAGATTTTTTTATATAAAATTTCCTTCTCGGAAAAATTTCACCATTTTTTTCTTCATTCCATATTATTATTTCATTTCTCTTTTTATATATTTCTCTTCTTAAATCATTATGTTTTATAAAAGATATTTTGTCCATTCTACATTTATATTTTCTTTTTATTTTCACTTTTCCCCATTTTTCTTGTTATTTTTTTGTGTTTTTTCTTCTTTTCTTTCCTCTTGCTACCATAATTCCACCATCAATTTTATTTTACTTTTTCTACTATGTGCATCATCATATTTATCCAAGTTCACCCAATATTCCATCAAATACGAAAAAACTATGTGAAAATATTAGGAAAAAAGTAAAATATAAGGGAGAACTATCAAATAAGTCCTCGAAATTTCATAAGGAGGCTTTGTCCGGCTGTCGCCATTTGGGGAGGTTTCCGGTAGAATTTGTTGATGAAATTTTTTGGGCATCTTCTTCTTTAAGTCTAGTTTATCCATACCAAATTTCATCTAAAAATTCAATCGAGAAGAAAGTCAAATGATTTTCCGAAATATAATGCGGTGCCTAACTGCGCAGTTATCTTCAAAAATTCATTTGACTGTCTTCCCGATTGAATGTTTAGCTGAAACTTGGTATGAGTAAACTAGACTTAATGAAGAAGATGCTAAAAAAATTTCATCAAAAAATTCCACCGGAAACCGCCCCAAATGACGACGGCCGGACAGAGTCTCCTATAAAAGGGCTTATTTGCACTTTTTGTGAAAGTTCGAGGGCTTATTTGATAGTTCTCCAATAATATATAGATAAAATAAAAAAATCAAGGAAAAATAAGAAAGAAAGAAAATGACGTACACTTTACACGAAAAGTGAGATGAGTGGTAAATTAGTTGAGAAGGGAAGAGTAAGAAGAAATCTGGAACACGTCACTAACATGTCAAAAACAGGCGTAAAGGGATGAGGTAGAGAGGGACAAAGAAAAAACAATGACTTCTAAAATGATGAAAAAGGAAACAAAGAAGAAAGAAAGAATAAAAGAAAAGTAAAAATTGAAATAAAAAATAAATAAAATAATAACGAGTAGTGTGGGATAAGGATCTTTAAAAGAGAATTAACCGAATAGTAATACATAAAAAAGGAAATAGAGCGAAAATAAGGAAGAAGTAGAAGGAAAAGAAGAAAGAAAGAAAAAAACTATTGAGGAGAAATTCTACAAAAAAGGGTTTTCTGATAAGGCAAAAAGGATATACACAAAAAGATAAAATAAATAAATATAATAATAAGAAGATGAAAAAAAGGAAAAGATGTGCTGAGATGATAGAAATAAAAAAAGAAAATTTCTAGTGAGAAAGAAGAAAAATATACTTCCTCCGTTCTTTTTTAGTTGACACGGTCAACATATCACATTTGTCAACGCACGTCTTTGACCGTAATTATATCTTAATTCTATTAGTAAAAATATTAAAAATCAGATTTTTGAAAATTTGTAATGAGATGAATTGAACAATATTTTTTTAAAAAGTAATTTTCATAAAATAATAGCGTAAAATGTAGTCAAAGTAGAGCATGTGAATAGTGTAAAATTCAGCATGTTGCAATTAAAACAGAACGGAGGATAGTATATGAGACTGTTTTGAGAAAATCGATGAAAGGTGGGAGTGAGACTATTTATGTAAGATTTGCAAAGAAAAGGAAAACAATAACCTGGTATAGCGGGTTATTAACCGGTCAAAAATCATTGAAGGAAGATGAGGTGCAAATGTGAGATTAGTCTAGGATTATATGAAGGTGGGACTGTTCGGAGAAGTCCGCTAAAAGTGAGATTATTGTTGTCAACTTTTTGTTTTCTTTTAACCAAATCACACACAAAAAAACAGTTTCATATGATCAAACATGCCCTTAAATTTTTGACTTTTGAGATTATTTCTATAACAGGAGTTAAACATGTTAAATAGGTAAACATAGGAGTAGATGTTTAAATTTAAAATTCGCTGAATATTAATCTTGTATTCTGATTGGACAAGAATAACCCTACAGGGGTTGGAGTTGGTCACTACCCATTGGGCTGCCGCCGTCGGATCTCTGGCGCCACCAAACCTCTGCCCCCGCCGCTAATTGTCAGAATTCTGCCTCGCCACTAACGGACTGACCTTCGTTGTGTAAGAGAACTAGGAGAGAATTAATTATATTAATTAAACATATTAAGTATAGAAAGGTGATGCTTAGTCATATTTAGGCAATATGAACCATGAACTCTTATTTAGGGAAAAAGAGTGTGTTCTATTCCTATTTAGGACAACTATTTTTAATTTTTTAATCAAAACATGTCTTTTTTATATATTCCCTAAATAAACTACTCACTTTCCTTTTCGGATCGTCCCTTAAAAAGATCTGATTTCTATTGTTAATAAAAACAAATACATTTACCTTACTATCTGATTTTCCACATTCACAACACTTACTAGCCACATTTACTTCCCACTCACCCCTACACCCTATCTACCTCTTCATATTTTCCACCTTCTTCATTTACTCCTCCCCACCCCTCTCCGCTTGGTCATTCCTCCACAATTTCAAACCCGAGATCCACGACAAATTCAGGTGGTGGGAACAGAGCGGATGAAAAGTGGTTGTTGGAGGTGGAGGTGTACAACGCCGTTGTCCCCCATTTCAGAGATGCTTCACTGTCGGTTGGATCCCCGATTCCCCCTTCGGCATTGGTTGGAATTCTGATTGTCCCAGATTTCAAAGACCCTTTGGTGTCGCTTGCAAACATCATTGTCCTACACTCCGAAGATGAGTTTAACCACAGCGCTGCTACATCTTATGTGATTGTCCTTGAGACAGGTCTACGTAATGCGGATCTGCAAAAATTACCAATCTCCTCACATGCAAGCTTTTAGGGAAAGGTGGTTTACCATCATCATCCTTGGGTATGTTGCGAAAAAATAGAGGTGGGATCATTCCCTCCATTACTACCTCCGTCCCGGAATTATCTCCTTATTTGACTGGGCACGAGTTTTAAGATAGTGGGAAATGTGTGGTGGAGAGTTGTGCAGAGGAAAGAGAAATGTGTAAGAATGGTTGGTTGTGAACCACATATTCTTTGCCAAAAAGGGAAAGAGGAGATAAATTTGAGACGGACCGGAAAGGAAAGAATGAAGATAATTCCGGGACGGAGGGAGTATACTTTTTACCATACGCTTTCCTTACCTGCTCTGAGCCAGGGAAACCCCTAGAGCTTGATAGGAACAAGGCTAATAATAAAAATAATAAAATATTAATAAAGACAAGTGTACGGGTAGTATAAATAGAAGGGATGTGAGGAATAAGAAGGTAGACAGAAATTCAGTGGGAATTTAGGTTGGGAGAGCGGGACCTCTAGAAGAGTCTCAACCTTTATTCTTCTCTTTCGTTTCTTTTTGTATGTTAGTTACCTTATCCTGCCATTGTAGCTATTTGAGAAATTATGTACACTTCTCTCAATTCACCGATTAATATACAAATAGTTCTTTTTTGCCTTGGAATCGCTAGTCTCTATCATTGGTATCAGAGCATCAAAGATCGCTGGAGTAGAGAAGGACTTTTACTCGTGCGCAGATGGAGAATAGCACTAGAAGTGTCGAATGCTAGTTCACGAAGATGGAAACGATGCTGGACGAGATGCAAAATCATATGCTTCAACAACATCGCTGACGAGGACGATTGAGAATGGTTAGACGCTGTCTGAATTCCAGAATCAGCTCAGCATCGTCGTTCGTTTCTACTGGCTCGCTGATGTCATCGCAAGCCGCTTCAACTTCGTTGCGAAAAGTATCTCCCACAAGTTTCGTCTCAAATAGATCTCCCTTGATCGCAGGTCTCTTCATCGACTATCAGCTCGCGTCAAAGGGTGAAGCTATCAGGAGGAGACTCCAAATGGCTGTGATATCCCTATGTGAACCCTAGTACGACACTAGACAGAGGAAACACCATCAGTTCACAGGCTAGATCATACGAGGAGGAGGTGTCCATTAACAGAAGCTATATCCACTCAGGAAGGGAGATTGATCTGCATACATCAAATTATGCTTATCACTTGGTAACTGAGAACGTTATTCAGACTGGAATATTGATTATTGACAAGCACGGAAATGAAAATGTGCCCGTGCTATTCCCTAATTCTAAAAAATACTCAAACAGAAAGAAATCAGATGAAGAGAGATATGAATTGGTGGTAGCTTCTATGAGATTCAATGATTCTGAGATATTCAAAGACATTTTCATTGGAAGGGCCATGCTTCTGGAAGAAAAAGATGCTGCTATCAAGGAGAAAAGAGGTTGGAAGAACAAAGGGGTATGTTGAGCAAACCACAGAATGGGGGGTGAAGGCCTGAAATGGAGGAGCAATTTCAGTCGCAATACTTTGGGGGACAAAGTGACATCTGATAGCAAGGGTGGGCAATCACAGGAACAAGCCAGACATGGAAAGGGGGACAGAGACTATTTCAAGTTGAGTTCGAAAATGAAGAACAAATTTGTCATCAGGGCATCTGTGAAAGCTTGCAAGTTTGGGTCCAGAACTTCATGATTACTCAGGACTTCTACTTGTTGGACTTGGGAGGCACTGATTTAATTACAGGTCTGGAATGGTTATCCAGCCTGGGAAATATAGAAGTTAATTTCCAGATAATATCATTAAATGGATGGAAGAGGGTCCGGAAAACAGTTGAAAGGGAAGGCTAACCTCAGTAGAACTCAGGTTGCCTGGAAATCAACAGATTCTGAAAGAATCAAGATTGCTGCTGGGAGACTTAAAACCACATCTGTCCTTGAGGAAAAATATAAATGGGAGAGGCTAGCAGAGGTATACAGAAATTATTGTTTGAGTGGTTCCAGTGGCGTGCATAAAAGCTTCGAGTATGACTGGATCACTGGGAATAAGTTAAGGTATATAAGAAATCTGCTTATCCTCACCCATCTTCATCGCAAGTTTTTTCTCCCTGTTCTCAGACTATATCGCAAGTAGAAAATATCAGTTCACAGTCGATACCTGATTCTCGGAGTTCGCAAGTTTGGTCGCAAACCGCATCTCACAGTTCGAAATCAACTACATCACCTCATCAGGAATAAGTGAGTAGCCAGCAAACTCCTTCGGATGAAATGAACTCGACACTAGTCGGAGAAAATACATCTAAGATCAACAAGAGTGACAATGAACGCTCATCTGATGAAGAACAATCATCTGCTGCTCAGGTTTCTATTCCTGAAGTTCGTTCTGTTGTTGTAGGGCTGATGGGAAATGTTCCAAATTCTGTTGTTGTAGGGCTGATAGGAAATGTTCCAAATTCTATTGTTGTAGGGCTGATAGGAAATGTTCCAAATTCTGTTGCTTCTCTTACTCTCTTTTTTGGATAAAATGTAAATATATATATCCAGAAAATAGCATAGTACAATGCATCAAAACTATCAAGCTAGCGATACTAACTAAAATAGTATCTAACCATTCAACCCCCACCCACCCCCCGAGGGGGTAGGCAGGAGAGAGAATTTTATGGTACAATCCAAACTTGAGGACAAGGTGGGTGATAGGAAAAAAGCCCAGAACAGAAGGGAGGATGAAGATGAAGTTGATGATCAAGGCTTTTTCCTATCACCCACCTTGAGGACAAGGTGGTTGTTTAAGGGGGAGATATGATAGGAATCAGGCATATTAGGCAAATAATAGAAATAATAATAATTGTACTGGTAGTATACATAGAAGGGAAGGGAGGAATAAAGGGTAGGCAAGTATTCAGTTGGGATTAGGTTGGGAGATTGAGACTTCTCTAACAGTCTCGTTGGTGTTGTAAACTCTCTGTAAACACTCCATTAACAACAATAAAGCTTTTCTTGACCATTTTCCTGATCTTTCTTACAAATTCTGTAAGATTCTTAGTCAAACTACCAGTGTTGTATCAATCTGCAGGAAAAAGCTTTAAGGAATCACAGCAAGAGAAGACTGCTGGGTCCCCGAGTGGGCGGAGAGTACATCAAGCTAAGCTTCTTGCTTTGGCTTCGGTGTCAGAACAGTTACTTAGAACAGAGGGTCCTGGAAAAATGGGTGCTACTGGAGGAAATGTCTTGGAAAAAATTCTTATAGAAGACATTGCAACAGGGGTTGATGAGTTTCCCTTTCTTGATGCTTATAGGTTTTCATCTGTTGCCAAGTTTTACTGTGTTCAGAATTCAGATGGGGAGTTAATGAGTAGACTGGGTATGTGACTGTGGAGGCCAGTGGCAGGGATGTGCCTCCTCCAGTGAGAGGAGGTGCCGCTCAGGCACTTTCACAGTTTTTAGTTGATGCAGACTGGAGTCATTTGGCCACATATCAACGACTTAGATTCATCAATCACCAACCTACTTGAGCATACATCTGATGAAACTACGCATCTAGTGCTTGAGACACTACACGCTGCAGCTAGGGCAGACCCTTTTGCTAGCAGTGATGCTCTAGAAGTTTAAGCTGCAAGAAAAACAGCTCGTGGTTGCATCAAGCCTTTGATTTCTCGAATTTTATCTTATGTGGAGCAGGTGCTGTCTAAACCACAGCAGCATTTTTTGTTGAAAGATGTGCCAATTGTTGTCATCAAAGATGTTTGTGAAGTTTCTGTTGATCCAATAATGAGGATAATCCTCGAAAGTGATGATCACTGTGAGATGCAGGAATTACTTGGATGGAGTGAAAATCCAAAGGTGAAGGAAGTGATGATGAAGGTTCAAGTACATAAGGTAAAGGCCCAGAAATCAGTATTGGGAAGGGAGAGGTGCAAGGATGAAGATGAAGCTGAAGGTCAGGGTTGTCTCCTATCACCCACCTTGAGGACAAGGTGGTTGTTTAAGGGGGAGATATGATAGGAAAAGGGCTAATAATAAAAATAATAAAATATTGATAATAATAAGCGTACGGGTAGTATAAATAGAAAAGATGTGAGGAATAAGAAGGTAGGCAGAAATTCAGTGGGAATTTGGGCTAGAAGAGTGGGACCTCTCCAAGAGTCTCTACCTTTATTCTTCTCTTTCGTTTCTTCTTGTACGCTTGTTTACCTTGTTCTGCCATTGTAGCTATTTGAGAAAATATGTACGCTTCTTGAATTCGCCGATTAATATACAAATAATTCTTCTATTTTGCCTTGGAACTGCTAGTCTCTATATGAGGTTTAGGCAGATTGTGGTATATGCATGCGGCCAACTATGGGGCTATGATTGGTTTTGTACGCATATCTGATGCCTATTGTGCTGATGTGATGGATGGATGTACTCCCTTTGAGGCCTGAGCCTGAGTATGTGTTTATGATTGGTTATGTAAGCATGTGTGAGGTTTATTCTATTTCTGTGATGCATGTTTGTGCTTCTTATGAGTCCTAAGTCCTGGTATGTGCCTATGATTGATTTTGTATGCATGTATGAGGCTTTTGTGATGGATATTTGTGTTTCCTATGAGACCCTAGTCCAAGTATGTGTCTATGATTGATTTTGTATGCATGTATGAGACTTCTGTGATGGATGTTTGTGCTTCCTATGAGGCCTAAGTCCTAGTATGTGCATATGATTGATTTTGTATGCATGTATGAGGCCTATTCTACTTCTATGATGTATGTTTGTGCTTCCTTTGAGGCCTAATTCACTAGAAAAAACCCCAAGAGACCATGAGAGAAAATGTGTATTAATTATGTCTTTAATGATGAACTGTTATGTACTAAAAACAATATGTTGAAATTCAAAATAAAGTTGAGCTTGCATTAGTGACATGTGTCCAAGTATCCAAAAAAGCATATCATTTACCTATCTTCCTAGTTTACCAATAAAGATATCCTGTATACTACAACCATGCGTCTATGTTTCCATTTTTGAATGGTCTGAACGTGTTAAGTATTCCCAAAAGAATTGTGAATACTTCACATGCTCAGTCTCGAAAAACATTCCGAAAAATATTTACTGCATATATTCACTACATTTGTACAACATTTGTTCACTAATGCAATATCTTCACTGCTGCATTTGTTGTGATTCGATACCTTACCCAATTCTTGTACAACCTCCAATGATGTACTTAGGTCCTTGAATGACATTGGCAAACAACCATGAACTTATTTTCCCTACATGTGGCACATTTGTAATTATTACCCCCTCATCTTAAGAACTTCATTCATACACAATTGTAGAATCAGCCATACGTGATTCAATGAAATTGGATTAAACTTAGCATAAGAACGCTCCACACCCAAACGTAGCTCATGAACTTAGTGCTTATGTGTTGTTTGTTGCATTGAATGAGTGAGCCTAAAACAGTAGGTCTAACAAATTCAGGTCAGGACTATTGGGAGGCTAGCAGATTAATTAAATGTTAAATCCATCTGAAGTGGCTTCTTTGATGACTCACTGTTAGTTGGACTAAAATGGGGTCTTCATTGCCTTGTTGTATGTATATATGATTGCTGACACAACTAAACCATTTAGCTTTGATAGCAGGCAAAACAAATCTGAGAAGACATTCCGTGTAAACATTCTTTGTGACTGAAACAATTGCATTCTCCTCAAGTGTGCCAGCTTCACGAGTGTGTGGGATCTGAACTGACCTCTTTGTTTGAGTCTGTGGACAAATGATTTTGGATGTACTAGAGCTACTGAAAGTGGTCTAAGATTCTTTTTGGAGCTTAGATCAATATCCATCATTTTTGACATGTCAATGGCGAAGTATTTCTTACCAATGTTGCCCTTCATTCTGTTACCTGGGTTGGTAAGGAGTCCAACAAGTTGTTCCTTGATCAGATTTCATATCTTTGTTATAGCCTTTCAGGTGGCCCCAAACTGTTGGTCTATTTTTGTAATGTTGTCTCTGATCATTTTGCTTTTCTGAAGACTTTGAAGAGATCAGCAATTATACTTCTTCTTTCTTCATTAGAAAGCTTCTTGTACTTTGGCCTAGTTGCAATTTGTAATTATGAACTTTCTGCCGTTTTGGCATGTAATAGTCATGTGCTGAATGGCTGCCCAGACTGCTACCTTTATAATGTTGATTTGGGGGGGGATTCTGAATTTTAATGATGAAGTGCAAGGCTAAAAAAAACCTCCATTTTGGAGCTGTTTAAAGGGAAATCTGGACAAATATGCCATTTCCTGAAAACTGTCACATTTACTATTGTGAATAGTAAACATGTGCGATAAAAATTAACCCTAGGTAAATCCATGGGCAAAACGGGCTGTCAAAGGGTGAATAGTGATTTTTCTTAAAATTTGTGTAATTCAAAGTGGGTCTTTTTAGGAACTGAAAAAGTACAATTTTTTGCATTACACTTGAACAAATTCAATTCTCAATTGAAAAAGGAAAAGATTACAATCAGTCCTCACCATGTAGAAAAAAGTAACATTAAAAAGTACCTGTAATGGTAGAGGTTCCTGGAAGAGGTAAAATCCAGCCATTGCGGAGGATAGAAAATTGGTCGCAAAACTCGTCACCGTAGCTTGTAGAGACGACATAGCTTTTAGGCTATTAACATAGCACCCCCACATTATCAAGTTGAAAATTACAACCATGCCGTATTGAAGAACCTTCAAACAAATTAAAAGTAAAAACAAAGAAGCAAAAAGTAATGACCATTCATAATATGATTTTTTTTGAAAGAAACCATTCATAGTATGATAGCAATGCAGCTGAAATAAACAAAGAGAATAAATACTTAGATGATATAATACTTAGTAAATAGAATAGTCAGTGGATAGTTAGTTCGGTTATTGCTTTTAACTAATTCAGTTGTACTGAATAGCTATAAATAGAAGAAGGCTAGAAGTAGAGAGGAGGCTGTTTTAGACGTAGTCTTGGGACTTGGGAAGATTGAGATTCTATCTCTCTCTTTTGGGGGGCTTCGGCTCATTTGGGGGCTTTGGCCAGAATTCTTGTTCATCGCTAATAAAGTTTGCTGTTGTTTCTTTGAATTGCTGTTCATCTTTCTGTTAATTTTCTGTATAGTGTCTACCTGGAGAAACTCTATCATTGGTATCAGAGACGGAAAATCTGAATCATCGGAACGATGGAGGAATTCTATATGACACCGCAAATGGAAGAAAGATTTGACAATCTGAATCAACAGATGAAGGAGATGAACCAACAGATGAAGGAAACGAACACTAGGTTGAAGGAAATTTTACGTGACTGTGAACGTCTAAGTCAGCGCTTGCACCGATCGAAGAACACCAGGCATCATCGGCATTCTGATAAACAGAGTTCGTCGCTCACCAGTTCGCAGAAGGAATCACGAAGTGTTTCTTCTGGTTCGCACGTGCAGACGGTTTCTTTTACTTCGCAATCGCGAATATCTTCTCACCGTTTCCAGTCACGAACAAAGTCTTCCTCATCGTCGCACACTTCGCATCGCTCTTCGCATATCTCTTCGCCTTGCTCTTCGCTATCTGACTGTTGAGGTTTATTCCCCTCGACCCGCAGGCCCAACACGTAACCTGGGGGTTTCGAATGGGTGGAAAGCAAAACAAGCTCACTAAACAACGAGGAGTGGGTTAATAACTGTATTTCATTCACTTTAGCGATTACAAGCCAAGGGGCCGAACGTACTGAGCTAAACTACGTGCCGTTGATGCTATTACAATTCTAGAGTGTCGAAGTGCGAACCCTTTACAATGAAATAAATGTGACTATTTATAGTATCCCATGGTGGTTGGGGGGCTGACGTGGCCGGCTGTGGGCGACATGTTCCCAACTACCAAATCTCCCGCATTTAATGCGCTTCCCGCCAAGATCTTGGTTTCCCGCCATAGCGTGGGGGACGTCCGTCCCCTAAACTGGACTCAGCCCTCTAGTGGCAGCCTGGGCCCTTAAGCGTAGTCCACAAGATGCTCGTCCCCTGGCCCTTGGGCCCTGAGCTTGGTCCTCCGGAGGCTACGTACGTCCTCTGGCCCTTGGGCCTTGAGGCCTAACTACGCTGGGACGTACGTCCCCTGGCACTTGGGCCCTGGAGCTTGGTCCTACGGGGCTACGTACGTCCTCTGGCCCTTGGACCCTGAGGCCTGGCCATGCTGGGCTACGTACGTACTCTGGCCCTTGGGCCCTGAGGCCTGGCCATGCTGGGCTACGTACGTCCCCTGGCCCTTGGACCCTGAGGCCTGGCCATGCTGGGCTACGTGCGTCCTCTGGCCCTTGAACCCTGAGGCCTGGCCATGCCGGGCTACGTTCGTCCCTAGGGGTTGATGGGCCGGCCCTGGTAGGCCATTAACCCAACACAAATCCCCCACTTCTGATGTTCCGAGCGTGCGCGGGACATAAAGAAGTAAGATAACTTCCGCCGTACCGCCTTGAGCTGTTACTCCCTTTTCCTCTAGGTGACGGTTGCTTCCCGCTGTTGTTCGCGGGGCTCTAGGTGCGAGCTATCTGGCCGGTTCAACTTCCAATGCAAAAGTAATCATTTCGTATCAGCCCGTCTCTACGCGACACGCGTCCCTCTATACGCTCCTTGCCATGTGTCGCCCGCGGGTTGGTCACTGATCCGGCGCCTCCCCTTATAAATACCGGGAATATGGGAAGGGTTAGGGCTTTTCATCCGTTGTCTCCTCTTGCCTTCCCAGCGCCGTTCAGCGATTATTTCGAGTTCCGGTGTTCATTTCTCCCCCAAGCTTTTAGCAAGGTAATTCCCTAATCCCGACCTCTTCCTTTCTTTTCGTAAACCTCCCCATGGCCTGCTCCATGGTGATTTCTTCCTCTTCGGAAACTGGCTCTAGCTCTTCTACCGGCTCTTCAGCCGGTTCATCTTCGGCATCAGAACTCAGATCCCGTTCCTCGGCGGAAGCGAGCGGTTCTGTCCGTTCCAGCACTTCTTCGATGACAGTCCCTGATGCAGTAGCTGATGCCGCAATCCCGGTCGCAGGAGAACATGTTGATATGGCCGTCGATCTTGAGAAAGCCGTTGCGATGATGGCACAACCAGCCGCGGCGGTGGGGCATTCAGCCGATCATGACTCGGGGGAGGAGGCCGAAGAAGGGGACGACCTCCGGATCTACAAGCTCGGCGTCCCTATGGATCAGCACAGGCACATAGTGCTTATTCCCAATGTAGCCGTGATCGAACAGGTCTTCTCCAAGAGGGTCCTGAGGGAACTACAAATTATTCTCCCCCCGCCTGCTTACTATAGCCTCCGAGGCGCAGATAACCTCCTCATGAGACGCCCGGGCATGGTGATGGTGCACATGGATTCTTTAAAGGCCGGACTGCGCTTCCCGATCCACCCGTTTTACCTTGATTTCTTCGAGTTTTACAGTGTTGTTCCGGCCCATTCATGCCGAACTCCTACCGTTTGATCTCTGCCTTCCTCGTTCTCTGCAAATCGCTAGGGCTCACCTTTTCACTGGAGCTTTTTCATCATTTTTTCCAAGTCACTCCCCAAAATGTTGATGGGTTCCTGAGTGTGGCCGCTCGTCCCAAAAGAAAGTTGTTCGAGGGGACTCCCTCCTCTATCCATGACTGGAAAAATCGATTTTTCTTTATTCGCTGTGCGGACAAGGGCTTCCTGTGAGGTGGAATGGATACCCTCCGAAGGTTCAGGCGCCGGAGCTAACCCCGTCGTTGCGGGATGCCGTGGATAAGCTGAGGCTGGGCGGCGTTAGGAAGCTGAAGGGCCTTCTGACCATTGAGGCACTTTCTGACGCAGGGATAGGTACCGCCCGTGATCCCTGGACTGGCCTTCTCTTATGTTCATCTTGTGGGCCCGGGCAGTCCATTCCCTGAGGTGAGTGCCTTTGTGATTCGCACCGCGCGGTACTAACGTTACTTTTTTGTTTCAGGTCCTCCTCCTACTCAAGAGCAAATGGACAGTGCAGCTATGACGGCTCGCCGTGAGGCAAAGGCCTACAAGGAACGGGCGGCGTTGGCTAAGGCTCGTGCGGCCGCCCAATCTTCTGGGGCCACTTCGTCTGCCGCGTCCCAGGCTAGTCAGCGCATTGCTGAAGCAGAGCGGCTTCTGGTCGCTGAGGTGACTGGGCAAACCTCTGAGGCCCATCATCCTCAAGATAACCGGGTCCTGAATGTGGACCCGGTCGGCGTTGGTATCCCTGCTGGTGGGGAAAAGGACAAGGGGAAGAAGCCGAAGAGGCCGCGCCTTGAGTCCTCTGTTCCTAAATCCACGAACGTCGTGGTGCCCTCCGCCGTTCGTCTGATCTCTGAAGTCTGGAAGGACATGGCCCTTCAGGCCGGGCTGGAGTTGTCAGGTCGTTCTTCGGGCGACTCTGTTGATAATGCTCTGCTTCTGAGCCTTGAGGTACGTTCCCCACATTTCCCCCTGTCATTTTTGAAACCGTTCCTCGTTCCCATCTAACCCACTTTCCTTCCTTGCAGGCTGGGTTGAGCTTGTTGCAGGCCAGGGCCGCTCGGGAGAAAGATCTCGTCGAGCTCAAGAGGAAAGCCGATGTGGCTTCCAAGAGAGAGCAAGAGGCCGTGCTGCTGCGGGAGGCTGCTCAGGCGGAGGTGAAGAAGGCATAGGCTGCCCTGGCCCAGGCTCAACAGGAGCTCCTGGCCATTCGGGCTCAAGGCGAGCATGAAAAACAAGGCCTGCTTGCCAAGGTGACCCTTGCTGAGAAGCATGGGATTTCCTTTGTTTCTGCCGCGGATCCTGCCCCCCGTTCTGAAGGCGGAGATCCTCCCAACGACGTTCTGACCCTGACCATCAATGTGGAGGAGTTCAAGAAAACTACCCAGTTGCTTCAGGCCGCTTATGAGTATTGTCGGGGAGCTGTTGGGGAGGTTTTCGAGGCCGAGCTGCAGTCGGTGTCGGATAAGGAGCGCTTGGTTCATGGGGTGCGGCTTTTGGAGAAGACCGCACTTGGTGGTGAGTGGCTTGCAGAGCTTGCTGACGATGCCTTTGCCAAAGGGTACTTCGAAGGTGTCAAGGCCCTTAGGAGTGTGCTCCCTCTGGCCGGCTGTCCGCCTTTCAACGTGGAAGATTATACCGATGGGGCCGAGCTTCGGCGGGTTATGGGAAAACTCGGCCGAGATAAGCAGCGCGCAGCGGCCGTTCAGAGGGGTGAAATCCCTGATCCCCCCACTCCCGAGCTTCCCTTTGTGCCATCGGAAGAACCGCCGGCCTCCCCACGCTCCCCTCCTCATGGCTTCCTTGCATGATTTTGTTAGTTCCCCCCTTTTGCTTAGTTGTATATTCCGATCGTTAGAGCCGAAGAATAAAGCTTCCTTTTGCACTTTATGGCTTGCGTTCTGTTTACTTATTCATAATTTCCTCCTTTCTCCCCCGTTCTTCTCTCTTCTTTTTTTACGAGGGACGGCTCCTGCTTCTTTTGCTCATGGGCTCTTTCCTCTTCTTCTGACGAGGAACAGCCCCTGCTCCTTTTGCTCATGGGCTCTTTTCCTCTTCTTCTGGCGAGGAACAGCCCCTGCTCCTTTTGCTCATGGGCTCTTTTCCTCTTCTTCTGATGAGGAACGGCCGCTGCTCCTTTTGCTCATGGGCTCTTTTCCTCTTCTTCCGACGAGGAACGGCCCCTGCTCCTTTTGCTCATGGGCTCTTTTCCTCTTCTTCCGACGAGGAACGGCCCCTGC